AAAAAAAAAAACATGTTTACAGCCGGATACAAAAATCCTTTCCCTAATCTAATTTCATACTCGAGTTAGGCGACTTTGAGTAGTATCCCAGCTGTGGATGTGCGCTGCTTCAACTTTAAATGCTGCTGCTCGTGCTAGTCGGCACTAAAAGTAGTAGTGAGTTACCCTCACTTTATTATAGTGCGGCGGCACCTTGGTGCGCAGGCCTGACACACAGCAGCACGTCTCCGAAGTGTAACCGAGTCCACGGTGCTCAGCTGGTTATTTTCTGACACTTGGATCAGCTGACTAGGTGACAAGTCCCTGAACTGAACTTATCGGATTAATAATATGGCGGCTGTGCCACATTATTGTCATATTTGTCTCTGGTCCAGTTTTTGACAGTAAACCATTGGACGGTCTATACTGGTCTATTTGTTGCACCCACATGGTTTGTGGACAGAGCCCGCCACTCAACCGTTGTTCACTTCCACCTCCTAAAAACATCATCATCATCATCATGCCAACAGGATAACACAGAGGTTTTAACAACAAACAGCTGACACGTCCATCATTTACATACAGTCTATGGTTCAGTGACCCATCAAAATATTTGGACCAAAACGAAGCTCGAACACGTGACTGATGAGTAATTTCATTATCTCGGGTGACAAACACGTTATTATTCATCATCCTGGGATTGAACGTGTGATGTAGAGTTTCTGTGCTCGGTGTAAAGAAAGCCTTTAAACTGGGAGCGCACTTAGAGCTGTTACTGCGAGTCTTTGGTCGAGTTCGCCTCCATTAATCTGAGCCCTGAGATTAATCCTGCTAATGGAGCTCGCAGGCTGTCCGTGTGAGTCTGTGTGAAACTCAAACACACACGGAGACAGATGAGCGCTCACTCCGTCACCTGTCGCCGTGTGTTCACCCAGCTGTCACCTCGCACATCAGCCTCAACTTCTTCACCTGTTAGCCGGCTAAGCTAACAAGCTAACGCCAGCGGGGCGTTTCTTACCTTGCCCCCGGCGGAGGCGGCCCTGCAGGCGGACACATGAGCGAAGCTTCTGGCGGCGAACTGCAGCGGCCGCCGATACATGGCTGCACGAAGACCCGCTGTTAAAGCCGAGAAGCGGGCTGCAGAGTCACGGAGGCTCCCTGCACGGAAACCTTCTGGTTTGGTAACAGCAGCAATGTCAACGGAATCTGTCCGGCACCGAATAGTGTCCGGGTAGAAATATACAAAGTGAAGAAAGGGTCCGCTTTTAACCCGCTCCGATTAAAGTTGAATCTTTCATTGCTGGAAAAAGAACTTGGAGCCTTCACTGAAGTTAAGCAGGAATACTGCACTGCAAAAATACCATTCAAAAGAAAGCACACTTAAAGCGCTAAGCTCAAGCCTTTCAGGGTAAGATAAGATAAGATAAGATAAGATAACCCCACCCCCCAATCTTAATAAGGTAACAAAAAACAATCAAATACATATAAACACACACACACACACACACCCTGATCCTGGTTCTGCTGGAGGTTTCTTCCTGTTAAAAGGGAGTTTTTCCTTCCCACTGTCGCCAAATGCTTGCTCATAAACAAACATTTTAATTGTAATTCCACAAAGAGTAACGTAACTGTACACTGGAGGATAACAAGCTTTGTAAGAATTAAATCTACTGACAAAGACAAATGTGACGTTGACCTTGAGTGCATTTCCAGTGAAGACCTATTATCATTGTGTGTAAGCTTTGACCAATCCTCCAAGAGGTCTGTGCATGGATGGACTAACAAATGTCTCACAATAGCATGAGCTTATAAGTCCTTTGGCTGTGCTAAAATAAACTGGACACATAATTTTAAATGTTTGCTTTCCATCCCACAGAAAATAGGATTTTCCTTCCAGGAATACTGCAATGATGCAACATTTCCCACCAAAGTCACATTCAAGGATGATACAGCAGGCTGACATAAACCATAATTATTCTTTAAATCTGTAAAAAGTCTTTGACAAGGAAACCCGATTACCTCTCCGTCAAACTTGCTTTGTAGT